AAGGGACAGCGTAGCTCCAACGCAGACTCAACACGCACGTACTCCAATCTGTGCAAATGAAGAATGAATCAAAAACAGACTACAGCTGGGGTATATGCCTAACGGACTGACTGGACTGGACTGGACTGGCCTGGTACCGGCAGTGGTACCGGGCAAGACCGGACTGGACTGAATAACCACACGGCCTTTGGGGTCAGGCCACAGCCTGGTCCCACATGCCGAACTGACAAATAGCCAAATAGGCCCTGGCTGTGGGCCAGGGCAGATGAAGGCCCGCTGCGTACGGAATGAAATTGCGCTTCTCCTTTGGCGTTTGCTGTTGAGTACGGAAGGCGCGAGTTGCATTTGATAATTTGCTTTGTTCGGATACTTACGCTAGTGACGTACGTACATTATCCCAGGAGGTCATGTAAACGCAGGAGACGGGAAGTTTTGTCGAACACCACGACCGTTATATACGGATGTGGGTGTCCTTCTTGTAGTTGGGAAGTTTTTTGTCAACCTGTTTATGTATCTATTTATGAATGGTATTTCATTCATTTCTGTATTCTTTTACCGGGTTGAGATCATTAAGAGGTGTATGATTCGTTTTCTATTTGCCTATGGATGACAGTGAGTATAGGTGATTGAAAGTGATTTGTTGGCGCTTTACCACGAGCTAGAATTAATTTTAAGTGGAACCTATATATTTGCTTTAGTTGATTTTATGATTTGGTATTCATATCTGGACAGGGTCGCATCACGATTCACACCTACTGGGACGACTCTAAGACGGGATGGGGAGATCAAGATCACGTTCGAGGTCCAGATCACCAAGAAGGAGGTACGAGGAGTCAAGGAGATGGAGATCACCAGGGAGACGTTCTGACCGATCGGAGGGCAGAGCATTCGATAAGAGGAAGGAGAAGCATCGCTCGAGGTCGACATCTTTTTCGGGACGTAGAAGAAGGAGAATTGTGTCGAGGGAACGGGATGATCGGAGATACGATTTCCCATATAACAAACCAGCCCTTGGCAACAGGGCGTGGTTCACAGTGGAGTTAAGGGACGAGTTGTATGCGCTCAGGAGAGAGCTCGATCGACTCAAGAAGAAGGTTGATAAGCTGTGCGACGAGGTGAAGGAGGCGAAGGAGATACATCCGACTCCGGGCGTCACGACGGAACAGCTCAAAGAGGCAGTTGAGAAGGCGGTAGCAGAGGCCAGCGTTAGACAAGCTTCGTCAATACCAAGAAGCAGTGCCTCGGCTGAGAAGCGCAAGCACGAGAGCAGCAAGAAAGATACTGGAGGAGTTGATGCCGATAATCTCAAGCGCCAACTAGATGAGATGAGGCAGATCCGGTACGACTTGGCCACCCTTCGGGGCACGGTGAATGGACTTAAGTCACCAGCCGCGAGGCAGTTTGTTTCTCCACGTGTCACGTTGCCAGCAGAGCATCGAACGCCGGCAAAGAAGAGGACACCGGGAAAACCTGGGCCAGGACCGAGCGGGAGTAAGAAAGCTAAGCAGAGACAGAATGAAGCACAACAGAGGATGGTACGATCCACGGCTACGAGGAGGATCCTTGAAGGGAAACAGATCTCCGAAAACATGCTGCAGAGTCTGCAGATGGGAGACCTCAAGAAGCTATGCATGAAGTATAACATCAAGTACAAGGGCATGCCGCAGGCTCGCGTCGCGCCGAGGAAGATCCCAGGGGTAATCGTAACAGTCACGGAAGATATGGCAGACCCTGAGGAGAGTGGAGAGGAAGCGCAGACCAAGTATCGGCGAGGAGAGCAGGGGATTTCAGAATCCATGGCCGATGATGCTGAGGAAGGAGAAGTGAGCGAGTCATCAGAGGAACCCGATGAGGAGGACGAAGAAAATGACGTGTCACATGACGTGGAACCTTCGATGAACTAGCGGCAGGTTAGTCCTTCGGCTACTGACCTCTCAGCGGAGGTGAGATGGAACCTGGTATGGAGATGCAGCTCACTATTGGCAGAACTCATCAAGTGCGGACGATGGCAAGAATGTCGAATGGTCAACCGAGCTTTTGGAGTCACCACGAAGGCACTACTACTGTACAGACAGATCAGGTGGGGAAAGCAGATTACCGATCTCCTTTAGAGTTATGACATAACGATGGACGACTCGACCAAGGTTTGTGTCTACATCTGGATCTCGCCTTGGTGCAGACATTTCTACGTAGGGAAAATGGTACGTGGCTTACACACGAGGTGGAAGGAACACGTACGCTCCGTACGGAAACCGAAGCACGGGCCTCAACGCAAGTTGTACTCACGGGTCAGGAAGTTTGGCGTGCACAAGTATGTATGCTTACCGGTGTGGACGGGCTGTCCGAAAGACGTGGAGCAGGTGGAGAAAGCGTTGATTCGAAGATGGGTGCCGTACCTAAATACGTCGCACACGGTAGGGCGACGGGTAAGGTGTAAGAAGAAACACGGACGTAGGGTGATGGATATACACAGACCTCCACGAATGCACGTACCACTATGCTTTATGAATGACCAGGGTCTCTGTACGATTGCGCTTGCTACGTTGATGAAGCCTAATGCAGTCATTTGCTTGATCAAGGGAGCACTGTGGGTTGAAGGCTGGAAGGTGGTAAAAAGGAGATTCGGGGATTCCATTTTGTTAATTAATGGACAAAAGCGGACACTGAGGGAGAGTCGATCATTAATTGAAGGGGGTTGTGTTATGAGTGTAATATGCTATGTGTTGAACATTAACCCGTACAGAAAGCTTAGACGGAAGCTCATCTCTTTTTTACGTGCTCCGTGGACTCGTGCAAGGTTGTACCGGTACTCTCTGACTCTAATTATTATACTCTACTTATGCATGCGGTCTATAGCCTCCAAGAAGAGTCGAGGGATCTTACGCGGATGCCTGTCACGTGTAGCAGTGAGGAAACATTCAGTCAACATTAGGAGACGTATGATATTGAGGATTCCATACTCTCCGGAGGTTGACCTAGTGGCGGTAAGGAGTCTGCTTGCTCAAATCATACGTGAGAATGTACTACATAAGCATCTGGCACGGACAATCGAGCAACGGATGAGAGTCATGTTTGCGAAGTCTAGGACTGTCGGGGAAATACTGCATAACCATCGGAAGATGGTTAGCAGCGCACCTGAATATCCATGTGATGAGTTGGATTTTCCCAAGCAAGAAGGACATGTTGCTTTTAGACTCACTGAGATCATTGAGGATCCCTTGCTGCTCAACTCTAAGAATGTGTCTTTTCACTCGAGCAGAAACTGTTTACAGGCTATAAAGAGCGGTGTTACTCGCGCATTGCTGAGAATACCGCCTCTCTATAGGAGGAAACAGATATCCGAGTTTGAGGTAACGGATTGCATAAAAAGTCGGGAGAACCATATGACTGGAATCAGCGTCACTGAGGTTTGCGCACTAAGATACAATTTCCGATCTCTGGTATGTTCTCCATTGGACAGAAACCAAGGGGAGACATTTGTTGAGTGTCCTAGGATGAATTGGGAACGGATGCATGATATGTTCTTTGGTATCCCTAACTATATAAGGATAGAGTCTTCGGTGGAAGATGTATTAGACACGACATCTATTACCTACAAGGCAGCCGGTCTGACAAAATTTAGACCATGGGATAGGCAGGGACAGTATGGTCACGCGTATGTGATCCCAAATGACAAATATGTGCTCAAGAGACGACCTATAGTTTGCACGTTCCAGGAGCCTTCGCTCAAAGCTTTGAAACTCCTCGCCAGATGTGTTAATTTCCTGGTTTGTTCTGTGAGAGTTGGATTTGGACTCAGTGGGACTAACGAGTTAGTTGCTAGAATTGATCATATTAATGAGCAAGCTAAGTCGTATTTCGCAGACGAGGGGGTGGTGTCCTGCTGCACCTTTGATGTAAAGGAGATGTTCACTTGTTTAGAACACAGCCACATAATGAAGGTCATGGACTGGTTAGTTTGCCGTCACCTGGAGACTCAGAACACACATCTGAGGATCAAGCTGCAAGGGAAGAAGATAGATACGGGTAAAGCAAAAGGAGTGTGGGGATGGAGGACGGTGAAGTTGAGAGATTTGCCGAAACTGTTACATTTTGACATTTCGCATGCTTATTTCCTAGTACAGGGGACGTTGATGAGGCAGATTCGAGGGATTCCAATGGGAAAGGGTTCGTCACCTCCAATCGCTAATCTTCTCTGCACATATGATGAATATTACTGGCAGCAATCACTGGGGGTTGACGAAACATACCTACACGAGATCCGTTTTGTGGATGATGTCTTTTTAGCTATCATCCACCACAAAATGGATAAGGACTCGACGCAACGGTTGATGGAACGATTCAAACAATGCTATCATCCATCTTTGAAGATTGAAGAAACAGCCAACTTACAGGATGCAAGACTCAAGTATTTGGAAACTGAGATTCGAAAGAATGACAGGCAACCCCTCATGAAGTGTTTTCATCGGCTTAAGAACCAAGAAGCACTCCTCGAGGGGTTTTCTGGGCGCTTTCGCACGATAAAGCACTTCAGGAGTTTTGGGCCTAAGAAATCGAAATCTCTTACGATGCTGGGGACCTTGCACAGGATGATAACAATACAACGGACCTGGAGGATGCGGTTGAGGTGATGAAACTGTTTTGCACAGAAGCCAGGATTTTGGGATATCCCACGGACACTCTCATTGAGGTGATTCGTGCTATCCGAAGGACAAGGATGAAGTGGACAGTGGCCAAGGAAATACTACACTGGCTGCAGATGACACGAAACAGCCGACCAATTTTTTCAGCAATTTAACTATATATATATATTTTTTGTTTTCAGCAACTTAACTGTTTTTTTCCAGAATGAGTTTTGGTTCGTAGGACGGTAGCCTGCGGCAGCGGGTTGCGCCTCTAGTAAGAGGAACGATGCCGGTTGAAGCAGTTAATTCTGGTACTAGTAGAAGGTGGTATTGAAGCCAGCAGTAGGACCACATTCGTACGCTAAAAAAGTGGAAGTACTAACTGCTCTGACAGGACGGACTTCCACTTCCCAAGCGTACGTTAAAGACCTACTGACGAGAGGAGAGGACTAGATTTGGACTTCATACAGACGGTAGGAACTGCTTTAGGAAGTACCTACACACAGGGAAGACTACATTCCTGTTTTGAGGAATTTATGCTTTTGAAGGTCAGAATGGACTTGGTGATTTGTGTTGGCGAGGAGGCTGGAGCTTGGACTGGACGATTGGAACAACGGGTGGTCTGGAGGAGAGACAATATATAGCCAGTAGCTCTAGTGAGTTCGTCGCCTGAGTGGACGAGGCAGAAGGGCGATGCCGTGGCGTACTTGTGACACGCGCAGTTTTTCATTTGCACATTGTGTCCTCCACGAGAGTAAAGCCTCACACATTGTGCTGATTCTACATGAAGTGTGCCCTTTCTTTCTTTTTCTTTTTTTTCTTTTCTGCCTTTCCTCCTCTTTTCTTTCTCCGTTTCTTTGAAAGTGCCACGGCCTTTAGATGTCATCGTTGAACTGACCGGCCCTCGGTAATTCTTATATTCAGAATGATAATTCTATTTTGGTCACTTGGGTGCTAGTGGTGTCTGACCCAGTCAGCACCACTAGCACTGCAGGGGCACGGTTCCACTAGCAACCGAGTAAGGTATATTGTCGCACGGCGACACCTGTGGGACGTCCGGGGGACATCCACCAGCCGTTGCTGCATCGAAATCCGAGGGTAGCAAAATAAAGATGTTTGTATATTTAAAATTTGTGTTTTAATTTACTTTTTCTTGTTTTTTGTTTTTTGGTGAATAACAGGATGTGGGGAAAAGAAATACCAAGTCTGTTTTTGATTGGTGGTTGTCGAAAACAAAAAAAAAAATCAAGTACTCTAAGTCGTTCGTATTGACTGTGCTTTCTTTTCCGGTCAATAGAAAGCCCCTCGAGTACTTCATTTCTTTCTCAAAATATAAGGACTTCACGCTTGAACATGGGAACCGTCACAGGAGGCAGTCCCGTCGGGCACACCAAGGGACTCCACTCCCTCTCTGTGGTACAAGAGACTGGGACTGCAATCGTCACGTAGCACTTGTCATAGGTGCACCCTCAGACAAAAAGAAAGATGGAAGAAGTGAATCTGGCTACTTTCTGCGAGGGATACATTCATCCACTGTCCATTCTACCGTTCAAGAAGATGGCACAGCCTTTTGCAGCACTTTCCAAGGTTGGGCTCTTCCCCACCTTAGGATTTGAGAAGTCACCACTTTAATTTTCTTTTTTCTCTTTTCTTCGTTTTTCTGGAGTTTTCTTCGTTTTTCTGGAGTGTCGCAGGCGTCGCACCGGGCCATGACTCGTGTGCTAGTGGAACCGTGCCCCAGGGGTGTGTGTGTTTTGTTAAAAAAAAAAATAAAAAAAATCCAACTTGGTTCAGTATTTCAACAGTTGGTGGGTGTACCAACTGAGCTAGGCCCGTTGGTTTCGTTCCTCTATTCCAACGTACCTGGGGGCCGACAACGAAGACCACACAAAACTTCGAGATGTACAACAAAGCCAAAGCCTTCTTATTGCGTCGCTTTGCTTGGTTCTGTTCGTGCTGTGCGGCGGAGCCGGGATCTGATTTGATTCACTATTTTTGGTATTTTTGCCTTTTCGAGATTTCTAGTAGTGCTTAATATGTTGAAGCGTTTGTCTCTCCTCTGTGTTGAAAAGAAAAAGAAAGTCCTTCGGGGGCACGGTTCCACTAGCAACCGAGTCAGGTATATTGTTGCACGGCGACACCTGTGGGACGTCCAGGGGACATCCACCAGCCGTTGCGGCATAGAAATCTGCGGGTAGCAAAATAAAGATGTTTGTATATTTAAAATTTGTGTTTTAATTTACTTTTTCTTGTTTTTATTTTTTTGGTGAATAACAGGATGTGGGGAAAAGAAATACCAAGTCTGTTTTTGATTGGTGGTTGTCCAAAACAAAAAAAAAAATCAAGTACTCTAAGTCTTTCGTATTGACCGTGCTTTCTTTTCCGGTCAATAGAAAGCCCCTCGAGTACTTTATGTCTTTCTCAAAATTGAAGGACTTCACGCTTGAACGTGGGAACCATCACAGGAGGCAGTCCCGTCGGGCACACTAAGGGACTCCACTCCCTCTCTGTGGTACGTGAGACTCGGACTGCAATCGTCACGTAGCACTTGTCATAGGTGCACCCTCAGGCAATAAAGAAAGATGGAAGAAGTGAATCTGGCTACGTTCTGCGAGGGATACATT